TTATTTATTTATTTATTTATTACTTTTTGTTGCAGTGCTGTTTATAAGCGTTTGTGTAATCGTTGTCAGCCAGTTTGTTGGAAACCTCCTGGTTATCTGCTCAGCTTCGTCTCCTTCACCTCTTTCCAGGAAGTGGTTACAAATTTTCCTTTCTCGAAATCGCCAGAAAAGGTTCAATGGTTTTATCACTGCTCCATCCATGTTGCTGTATTGCACTGCATGCTCATATTCCTAAACAAAAGTGTCTCTCTCCAGGAGGAAGTTTGCACAAATAACACTTTTCTTCTGTCAATCTTTTTTTTTGTTTATCTATCTCAGGGATAATCCACGGGCAGCGTGCTTTACTCGCTTCTGTTCCCTTAGAATCACTGGAGAGGAGGTTCTGAAACAGCGTGGCTGTGCGCGGTTGAGCACACTGACACATTGGGCCGAGACCAAGCCAAGCCAAAACGTGTACAAGTGGGTCCGTGGAGATGGGACTATTGTGGTAGTGTTAGCAACACTGAAAGACTAATTGTTACCATGTTACGGTTTGTTTTCACACCTTAAGTGAACCACACCAGAGTTTGTTTGGAAGCAGACCACCTGAAAGGTGGGTCTTATTCTGGTTGTTTGGTGTGCATCAAGGTTTGCATGAGTGTAAAGGTCCAGACCAAAGGGAGAAATGATCACTGGTCCATTTAAAGCAGACCAAATGTGTCAGGTGTGAATACACCTTTAAAGAATTGATACAGTACTTGGAAATGAAATATGATATTTTAGTATATTGATATATTCTTACACCTCTACATACAACACATTCATAAATTTGAGCATAAGACTGACAACAGCTGCAAAGGTTTGAACCAAGGAAGAAAATTTTCACAGATTTCAACGAACAGACACCTACAGAACAAACAACACTGGCAGAAGTTGGAACAGTTTATACCTCAATGGGTTCACTGAGAGCTGAGATGGTTGTAAATCCAACAATGTCACTGAAGTAAAGCGTGCAGTCTGAGTAATGTTCAGGTTGGACTGGCTTCCCTTTCTTCAGAGCTTGAGCCACTGACCTGAAACATACATTCATGTGTGACTTCAACTGATACATGCTTTGATTTTGTTCAAGATGTTTTTACCTCGTACTTTTTTACGTAGCATAAAGAACAATCAGGAGATAATGTCAAAAAACAAGCTTCAAGAATTCCTCTATTTGTTCTGTTTTGTTTACTACAAAGAAAAGGGAGTCATGTGACATACATAGAATAAAAGTTCATTTGAAGCTGAATTCCAGCATTTTACTGTAGATGTGAAACCACAAAAATAGCTTTTGTGTTTGAGTAATTAGTTGACTATGTCCAATAATATTAATGTAAATACTTCGAATTATCTTCGGACATTACAATTTCAATGAGTGAATATTCAGATATTTGTTGGTTTTTATTGATTTTAACATTTCTTTAGGAATTGAGTCTTACTTTGGCAGAAGCTGTCCAATCAACTTCTCAGTCTTGTTTCTTTCAACCTCCAGTTCATCTGTTCGTTCCCTAATAAGATCCTCCAAGTTAGAACTGTATTGTTCCAACATCCGTAACATGGAGTCAATAATGTTTGCCCTCCTCCCTCTGCTGATGCCTCGAAACTAAAAATTTAAAACCAGCAACAGAATACTTTCAGGAACAGACTTCTGAAGAACCACTGCAACAAAAATGTACCTAGCAATAGAAAAAAAACTACAAAAAATTTATTCTTGGAGCTGTTTAACACTTTATCACTGACCATGATTATTTTAGGAGAACTGATTTTTAAAAACTGATCTGAATATGTCATTCATGAATTTATGTCTGATGAACTGGGGAACTGTGCAAAACTAGGCTCTTGTGTCCAAATATGATTTATGCTACAGTATGGAGCACATTCAGGCAGTCTGATCACAAAACAAGATAATTTAAACAAGGCATAATGCACCTGTTTAAAAATGTCATCAAAGCTTGGTCTTTTGCTTGGATCTTCATTCCAACATTCGCTCATCAGATTGAGACACTCTGCAGGAGCTTCATCCACTGAAACTACTGGTCTGAAGACAGGAGGGGGGTTCTTTAAATGCTCCACAATTTCTGTGGGATAGACAGACATTCAGACAGTTGGTCAGACAGAATGACCAAAAAATGCTTTTCAGTCCAGTCTTACCATGAGCAGGCATATCCATCATAGCATACGGTGGTGTTCGTGAGATCACTTCCTGTATAATGATGGAAAAACTGAAAACATCTCCAGAAAATGAACCAGCTTGTCTTTGACTCTTCAGAAGCTCTGGAGCTGTCCACAGGAGATCTGAGAGACAGACCAAAGGGTTAACAGCTTCAACCGAACACAACATAAAGACAAGTTTATTATAACAATAAAGATAAAAGTAAAGAGATATTTTGTTATAGCATTAATCAATAATAAAAACTGTAATTTTAATACTGTAGTGTACTCTGAGGCCCCCATTCACATGGGTTTTTACCCATCCCCATTCACCAATACCAATGATACTGTACAGTTTTCATTAGTTGTTTTGGGGTTGTTGTTGTTGTTGTTGTTGTTGTTGTTGTTGTTGTTGTTGTTGTTGTTGTTTTTTTGGGGGGGGGGGTGCAAAAACAAAAAACAGAATATAAAATCTAAAATACAAAATACAATAGTAATAATAATAAAAATAATATTAGTAATAAAAACTAGAAGTGCTCAGAGAGTGCCCAGAGGTTTAAACCTGAACAATGAAAGTGAACCTTATTTTACTTTCTAGAGAATAACACACCTCAAAAATTTTGGAAATACTATTTGTCCAATGTAAACTGTAAATTTCCTTTCTTTTTGTCACTTGTAGATGTAAACAGTTTCAGTGACTGCAAGCTTGCAAGCCCCATGGACAGATGAAGACCAAAAACTGCTTGTAACTTGACTAAAGGGCACTTCCATTCTCACTAAGAAGGAAACAGTGTCAGATCAACCAATTATTTCAGAACAAGACACCTTCACTGACAAGGCATTGTACACATCTACACAAGATGTGCAAAATATTATTTNCACAGACCCCCACCAGATCCACAGACCCCAACAGACCCACAAACCCCAACACAATCACAGACCCCAACACAACCACAGACCCCAACAGACCCACAGACCTCAACAGACCCACAGACCTCAACAGACCCACAGACCTCAACACAACCACAGACCTCAACAGACCCACAGACCCCAACAGACCCACAGACCCCAATACAACCACAGACCCCCACCAGATCTGCAGACCTCAACAGATCCACAGACCCCCAACTAGGGTTGGGCAATATTGGCAAACAAATTAATCACGATTAATTGTGGTATTTAGCCGATAAGGATTAATACGATGATTAATGACCTGGAGTCCCTGCATGTCCTCGTCATATGACCAATTTAAATCACTCTAGTGGGAAAGATTTGTTCTCTGTAAAAATCTGTTCCATACTGTGTCAAAAGTACAAACTTCAGGCTAAACATCAACTTTTAAATTGTGTTAATAGACCAAGTAAAACTGGACTTATAACAAATAAATCAAAGGACTTTATTTTAAATGTTCGGCATATTTAAAGCGGAGAGGAGCATTAAGCGGACTGACCAAGGAAATATCCAGTCAGTCCGCCTGGTGGCATTAATCGTATTATCACAAGTCAAAAACAATAATCGATTAAAGTTTTTTCAACCATTAATTGCACAAGATATGATTTTTCCAAACCCTGTCCCCAACAGACCCACAGACCCCAACAGATCCACAGACCCCAACAGACCCACAGACCCCAACAGATCCACAGACCCCAACAGACCCACAGACCCCAACAGATCCACAGACCCCAACAGATCCACATCAGGGTTCATTTAGGACAATAAAACTAAATTAAACATGTGGTCTAATGTTTACTTTCTTTTAAAGGATGGTTTGGTCACTTCCTGTCACCTCAGCATGTTTCTGTAAAGAAATGAATTAAAGCAACACGTCTGCTGAGGACTAACACATTAATAAAATCATCTTTAATTGAACTCTGAGGAAAAAGATGAACCTTGGGTGTAACCTGAGGTGTTGTGAGATTATGGGCTCTGTTTGCTGAGTTGTTGTTAACAAACAGCTGAAGTTTTGTCTTTGTTTCTCTGCATGACTGCAGATGTTTAAAACTTTAATCCTTTCTGTCGTTCGAACTCTTTCTGTGGATCAGATTAGAAACAAATCAACACACTGAATAAAAACAGGAAGAGTGGCTTTAAATTATCTACAGATAAACTGCTGTCAGTCAGAGATCTGATGAACCGGAGTTCCACAAGGATCAGCTTTAGGCTCCATTTAGTTCTCTAGTTTTATTACAGGTTTTTTTATTATTATTATTATTATTATTATTGTTTTAACTTGAGGAGGATTTTCTCTGCAGTGAAAGTGCTGCTTTATGCAGACGACAGCAGATTCTATTTACTTTGACGTGGAGGGGTGGGGGGCACAACTGACAGACCTCCTCAGGACTGGTCCTCCCCTCAGAGGTGGAGGGGTGGGGGGTAAATGTAGGTCAACGTCTGCACACAGAGACTGAACTCAGCACCACCACAGTGTTATCAGGACACACACACACACACACACACACACACACACACACAC